AGAGAGAGAGAGTTAGGATACAAGTTAGGGTCCAGAAAGTACATAAATCCATGTATAGACACTCTTTTATGTCGGTAAGCCTTGTCCTAGGTTAGGAAAGGATGGAGTTTAGACTTAGTTTACCTCTCTTTCTTTGACTTTTATAGGGTCATGGCTGAACCACAAAGAGGCAACATCCGTCGCTACTGTATCCGTGTCCTGGTCGGTATTCTTGTTTTCGGCAACGTGGGGCTGTACTATTTTCTGGTAAGTTTGTTGGAGAATGAATGCATTGGAAAGTGACATACATTTTTTTAGCCAATGTCCTCTCCATGACACCTACAGAAACAGGTTACTTTAAACAGTTACTACAAGTTCTCCATCCTTTCATCATCTAGAAGATCGCCAAAAGACAGTGTTCCTACCAAAATCACAAAACCCACTCATTATGCAGAATGTGGGACTATTCATTATCCACTGCCTTCAAACAAGACGTCAAACCTCATAATAGCAAGTATAGCAGAAGTATTTACCAGACAGTAGTTTTTTGTTCCCCATTATTTCAAATAAACACTTTATTATACTATCTGTTTTGCCGTCACCTCATGCACAGGAAAGCTTTTGGAACATCGAGTACATCTACGCTAACCAACTGAGATTTTGTGTGACATCACCGACATCGACATTCCGAGTTGGGGACGAATTACGAGTAAAAATCTCGGCTCGAGATCCACAAAATATGATCGCAAACGTCGGGGACTTCTTACGGGCCTCCATCTATACATCAACTTCAAGTTCGAGCGCTTTTGGCGACATTAAAGACCACGAAAACGGCACGTATACTGTATTGTTCAGACTCCTGTGGTCAGGGGATGTCAGAATCAACATCCAACTAATCAGTTCCAGACAAACTGTAGATATCATAGAAAGAACCGTTCTTGATTTTCCCGCGGACAAGATTATGTTCCGCAGACGATACATGACCGATGGTGAAGAACCCGTCCACGTGCTGTGTAACGTGGATCCCGGAGTGTTGCGCGCAGAAAGCGGCGTGTGTAACTACTCCGACCCGCACGCCGGCGCGCGGTGGTTCTGTGAGAAGGCGGAGATATTTTCCTGTGACGAGGACAGGGGGTTTCACGGCATCCACATGTACAAGGCAACGGGAGACATGTTGGAGAAAGGGGAAGAACAACGTTTCAGGAAGTACGTGTAGCAAACACAAACATACTTGTAGAAATAGTAGGAAAGCTGAGGTTGCCTGTACTGTTTTTGTTTTGGGTACAGGAGTTTTCTTTTACACAACCAAATTTTCTCACCTACACTACAGTGCTGACGTTTCGGCGTCTATCAGACACCTTCCTCAGAGCTTCTGACTGGAGTTCTGCTTCTCGCCGCTATATGTAGCCGATGTAGGTGGCGCTTTTGCGGCGAGAACACAACCCCAAAGTAGTGCTGCACAATACTAGAGAAAGGTGCAGAGATTGTTCTGTGCATGGCATCGAGATGGGATCTGTGGTAAATGTTAGAGGAATACGTCAGTTTTGAGACTGTAAAAGTTGAATTATGGTGCGTGTTCAGTCGGCGTAGATTTGCGCTTTAATACTTGTACCGACTAGTACTGTGAGAAAATTTGGTTGTGTAAAAGATATCTCCTGTATCCTACCCGATGAAACTATTTTCGGATGTTTTTGTTTTGTTTGCAAACTAATCATACATCAGGCAGAAGTTATCTATCACGAATTGCACAACAGCAGTATTTCTGAGAACACTATCATTGATATAACCTCGTAAGAGTGAAAAGCGCCTAAGGTTTACAATAAAATAATGCCTGTTTTTTAATCACTTCTTTAACCACAGGGCATTATTCTACGGCGAAGCAAACGCAGCCAAAATCCCTCTCTCTGGATCCCCAGCCAAAGTCTGTGTCATGGAAGGTAGGGCATGAAAGATTGAATGAATGAAGGAATGAATGAATGTTTATTGCATGTTCTTGCCCACAAGGGCTAAATGCACATGTGACCAACTGTGGTTTACAGGGTATAAAACATGGAGTATTGAATAGTGCTAAAAGTCTACATATATTACAACAATACTAAATACTACTTAATATCATCTACTGTTAATCGCAATTTCTTCTCTCTTTTTGAAACACCCGGAAACATAATTACATATTCTGTCCACTACACGTCTTGCATGGCATCAAGTATTTGAGAGTGTCCTGCTTTGACCTTTTCTTGCATATCTTGTCTAATTGTAAAGCTTAAGTTTCGAATAGCAATGTACAATCAAGTAAAAATGTATCTCGTTTTCAGCATATGAAAAAGAAGCATGTGTTCCTGGTTTGATTTTCCATTTCTCTATGTTAGATAGCGTCATTCCCTCATCATGATATCAACGTTTTGCGTGCTCCAAAATAATTTAGGAATTTTAGAAGATCTTTAAAATGTAATAAAAGATTATAGTAAAACATTGAACTTTATCCCAACACAAGGGCTACAGAGCGATCAAATTTTCGACGACCACTGTCACCTTCATCAGGATAATTAATGACCAATCACTTCACAAGGATAATTAATGACCAATCACTTCACAACGTGATCTCGCGAGAGTTACGGTTTACAAACACGTGACCTTATTCACACGAGACTTTTTGTAAACCGTAACTCTCGCGAGATCACGTTGTGAAGTGATTGGTCATTAATTATCCTGATGAAGGTGACAGTGGTCGTCGAAAATTTGATCGCCCTGTAAAGTTCAATGTTTTACTATGATTACTACCAACACAAATGAACTTTCATGATATTTCTGTAATAAAAGATTATTGAATACTCTTAGGTGTGGATCCACTGGCCAACCGTGCCCACTGCATGCCGGGACATCCCAACCCGCCTGTCTCCGGGTTCTACCACCATGGCGTCTGGGAGTCGCTAGTTTGTGAAAACAGACATTTCATCACCAGATCAGAGTGGGAACAATGTCTCACGGACAAAACCCTGCACTTCTTCGGCGACTCTACCATACGGCAATGGTACGAAGAACTCGTGAAGATCTTGGACATGGTTGAGGTACCTATTGTAGGTGCTATTCACAACACTGGTCCGCTGCTTGCCCATGATTCAGAAAACAACATCACGGTGAAGTTCCGAATCCACGGGCCGCCCCTTCGGTCTGCCTGGACGGCGACGGCTCACCTAAAGTACGTCGCAAACGCCATCGACGAGATCCGGGGAGGGCCAAACGACGTGGTCGGTATTTCTGTCTGTGCGCACTTCACGTCGTACCCCGTGGATGTCTACAGAGAAAGACTGGCGGCGATCCGGGCTGCTTTAGAACGGTTGCTTCACAGGAGTCCCGATACTATTGTCGTCATCAAGTCTGCAAACACGCGCACCGGCAACGAGCTGATCGGAGGCAACTGGCTACTTCACAAGTTGGACCTGATGATGAGGGAAATATTCGCAGGGATGAAAGTCGTTTTTCTGGACGCCTGGGAAATGACCAGCGCCCATTGGAGCGAGGACAATATTCACCCTTCCTCTGAAGTAGTCAAGCAAGAACTGGAGTTTCTATGTTCTTTTATTTGCCCTCTATAATAATACGGGGATCATTCGTGGTTATTTATTCCATTAGTCTAAGAGTGAATGTTACACAAAAAAACACTGTCATGTCAGTTAGTAAAATCGTTGCCAGTTTACCGGCGTTTGTCATTTTGGCCACTCCAACAAACTGTTGATCTTTACTTTTACCTCGATACCTTCCACCTTGAAGCAGCACCCTCTACTGACCCGGATAGAAACTGCATATTTTCACTTTGATGAAGGAGAATATTGACATCCAGGTACCCGTATATGGTATATGCATATGCATATGATGCATATGGAAATGAATCATTTCTTGACTGCATTTACAACTAAATCCGCTGGGTTGCGCTTTTGCTTCAAAACGCCGTAGGCCTTCAGCTGATTCACAGACCATCACCTTTTATCACCCGGATGATACATTTGTTTCCGGCTTTCACAGAACCACCCGGCCCTCTACGTTACGAAGCCGGTCCATACGGCCTTTTCCTATCAATGCTCAACAGATTTGAAAAGACTGGCCTGCATGTTTTCAGCACCTATATCCCACTGACTTTAGACACAGACCGATCTTAACAGCATCTCAAAAACTTATAGCCTGGGTACCGTCCGGATTTTCGCGAATGATTTTTTCGAGCGTTGCGTAGCGAAAATCCGGATGGTACCCAGGCTAAAAAAACTTACGCTGTAAAAGGATTGTCTCTCTCTGTACCGGTAACACTTACTGCAAAAATATACAATAGTGAAATGGGTCTAAACAGCATCGTTCTTCTAAGATCGCGTACATATTCTGTGACGGAAGAATCACACAAAATAACAGTGGAGACAAGAATCTATGGCGATGTTCATGTCTGTTTGATTTGTTTCTCTGTATCCGTTCTAGCATGATGCAAAACACAGTTATTCATCAATGAAGATCGTGATGTAGTATTAACGATAATGCTAGAACGGATACAAAGAAACAAATCAAACAAAAATAAAAATCGTCGTACATTCTTGTCTTCACTGTAATTCTGTTTTATTGGGGTGCCAGTAATCAAGACATGGAAGCCACAGAAATGTAAAGTTAGATACGAGTAGATGTAAACAAGATCTGTGCTGTTCGTGTAGATAATCGCTTACCAGATGTTACATTACCACTATATACCAGTTATCTAAAAGGAAACACAACGACCAAATCATGCACTTATACAAGTTGAGTGAGACAAAAAAGCGTACTTGACCTAATAACAGCAGCACACGTCTAAGGATAGTGATAGAAAACGTGTTGCACTGTTAGTGTTACCAATCACTTGATATGTACAAGTGTGTTGTTACGTTGACCTTGCTCGTCACTTCGAGCATTTCACCATATTACCCGACGTTTCTCGAGCCGTGGCAGATCGTCATCGGGGACATGCGGATTGTAGTCGGGCCGAGACGACCGTCCCTCCCGGCTGTCATATCTCCCCGGGACGCTACAAGATAAATGTGGCTCAACGGACTGGAAAATGAAGGTGTTGCTGGGGTGTCGATAAGTTAATCAGGCTAATGTATGGGCGCGCGGACCACACCGCCCTGGGGACGAGTGATGGATAAGGTGGAACGGCCGACAAAATTCGTCTTCGCACAAAAGTGGGTTTGGGCGCGCTCACGAATCCATCATCGCGGCTTGTCGGCGCTGACGGGGCGTGCAGCAGCGTCGGGCGAGTCGACTCTCCTGCGTTTGTTCTTCTTCTTCTCCACCTTCCCTCCCATAATGCTCTACGACAGACAACTCTCTGTCCCAGGAAAGTTTTGTATTCGAGGTTAAACTCATTCATATTGAACCTGGTCCATGAAGTTCCTTCTTTTATTTCAAACTCACTTCTCGTTCTATGAATCCGTCTACAATTTGAGGCAAAGGAAATCTGCAAAAGAAAGAACTGTACATGGCGACAGCATACTCGATTTTATGTTTCCCGGCTGCATGGCAACCTAGTCTAAACCGTCACCTTCCCGAATTTCAGAAACACCGTGAAACACACACACACACACACACACACACACACACACACACACACACACACACACACACACACACGCGCGCGCAAAAAAAACATCGAGAGCACGCACACACACACACACACACACACACACATTTTCAGAGAGAACAGCTCTAGCTACGGAACATTAGAACACTGATGTAGCTTCTGATTTATCGCGTTGTCTGGTTCAGTTGAGAGGTCCCACATTGGCGCGCTGACCGTCGGACCGTGACACCACCGACACATCTCCGGCATCGCGAATGAATCCGTACATGTGTAGGAATCACAGGGACGAGAGGAGATCGATTCGGAGCGTGCGACTTGCCTGCCACTAAGAAATTAAGCGATTCGTCACTGACAAGTCCGGTAAGAGGATATGTGACCAGTAATAGCTGCTGACACACGTGTAAGTAACGAGCACGACCTCCAGGCACAGAGTGGATCTGTCACTTGGTAGCGGAGGGTGATCTTGCCCCCTCCCCAGTCTGTACCATCCGGGCACAGAAAGGGGCAAACGTACTGTGTACTCTGTGTCATTTCCATTTAAGGAGTGAACAGAAATTTAAAGCGAACAGTCTTTTTCCCACCCCTCATCTAGCTGTTGTCGCGGCTTTTTGCTATTTTCGTTCAGAAAATTAACTTATTTCTACCTGTAGAACTTTTAATGTGTTTGATATACTTTTTTTTTCATTTTCGTCACAGAAATCTATGTAATATGTGAGAACTCCGACATGTAAGATGTGATGTGCCTTTGATTGCAGTTTGGGGAATCCACGAAAGGACCAAAAAAGTTATATTTCTTCAATAGAACAAAACCTATCATATCAAAAACAAACAAACAAAGAAAGAAACAAACAGACGAACCAACGATACCGACACCATATGTCACCGAGAACGCTTACTTGAATGTCTAGGTCCTTGAAACCCGGTCACCTTGTACGGTATTCCGTCAAGCTCCTGAAATGAGTCTCCGAATCGTGTGTTTCCCGCGGATTTGGGCAAGTCTGTGACGTTGATGAATCAACTAATTTATTTTGGGCGGACCTTGAACCCACCACGCGTCATCCCTGTCGCCATGGTGATGGATGAGGCTGCGGATCCAGGCGTTGTGTCGTCTGCAAAGTGTAATTAATGCCCGCTCTCCTGACTCTGCTTTATAATCAGTGCTGCGTTCAGCCGGAAAGCGGAGGGGGGAACGCTACCAGAGAACAACGGTTTCTGAACTAGGGGTATAGAGTTTTCTTCATACACAACCAGAGAGGTTCACACGTTTCGATGTCTATCAGACACCTTCCTCAGAGCATCTGACTGGAGTTCTGCAACTCGCCTAACGCCAAAGTAGGTGGCGCTTTTGCGGCGAGAATGCAATCCCAAACGTGGCTGAGCTTGTATCCCCCCTCGTCCCGGTTCATCACTCTATACGTATACCCTAACCTTTCCAACCTCATGAAATTATTTGCGGGGTTTCTGAACTAATCTCCAAGCAGAGACTGTGGGGCAAGGGGATTCTAATATATTGGCCGCCTGTATCCATTGGCCTCCCGGTAACCGCTGGCTGCCCCATGCACGTGGGCCAATATGGACTCCCCTTGCCAACAGAATCTCCTTGAAGATTTTTCTGAGATTTACCTGATTTTTACTAAAAGGTACTTCATTCTGAGAACAGCGACGAGCGAATGTTTTGAACGACGCCAAGCGGATGATTTTGCCTCAGCCGTCGTCGAGTACTCAGGTCATCAATTAGGATTTCTTCGTATCCAAGAAAAACTCATCATAAGCCACAAAGTTGACTTCAAAATTGAAATCAGAGCGACTTGTACGTGAACGGTCATTTGGCCATTGTCGCCATAGGTTGGGATATGGCCGACACACATCACCATCTATAGTTTGTGTTTAGGTACCAAAGTTAGACATGGCCCGGTTCATCCACAGTGCAATAAAGTATAACTGACCACGTCTATAATGTCTATCATTGTGTGGAGAAACAGACCTTTCGGGTCACATTGCAGGTTTTGTTTGTTTGTTTGTTTGTTTGTTTTATTTCGATCTCCATTTAGTGTAATACATAAAGTTTACACTACTCTTCCTGGGGCAACTAACAAAAATAGTAAAAACAATAATAAATCAATCAAACATAAATTAAGATAAACAATAAATAACGGAATAATAATAATAATAAATTCATAACAAAGATTTATCCTGAGATAACAAAGGATAATTAACCAAACTCAGCATATAGAACTTAAAATGAACTGAATGGGAGGTCAGAGGTCAAAATAATAGAAAATGATATAACTGAAAGTGATTGGAAAACATAACATGCATCCAAACACTTTGAAAATCGAATTAACAATGAAGTAAACAAAATGTGGACTCAGGTTTTGTGTATCCAAAGTCTTCTGTAGCCTCCTTCGCAGTCTTGTTGGGCGTCGTGGTTACTAGTATTTTTTTCTGTGAGCGACGCGAGTATATGCCGCGAGGGACGATTTGCTGCCGAGGGAGTTTTTGCCGCGGAGAGAAGGATTCGCGCCGACACCCAACAAGACTGCGAAGGAGGCTAAGTCTTCTGAGTGTTCCTTTAAACACAGAGGATTGCAAGGGCTCAATTTGTGGAATTTTCATAGGTACTAGTATCCTTTTTTCTGTTCGCTCGCCGGTTAACCCTGACAACAGTGAGCCATTTCTTCACTGAACAGTGATGTGTCCTTACGTGTTCTTCTACTCTGATTTATTTAGATACAAGAGTATGTAAAACGGTATTAAATCAAAACAACAATCGTTTGTGTTGAACTGACAACAGGCAAAACTCACTCCGTCACTGACAGAGGTTGAATAGCGCCACTGAATGATGTCAACAGGTTTTATAGTGAGTCTTCTATATCGGAAACGTGGCGTAGACATCAATTTTCCACGGTTGAAAATAAACGAGGTTTAAACAAAAGTTGACACTCGAAGTGTGTGAAACCTTTCATACACAAACCGTGCTTTCATACAAGTGGGGTCGTGTGGTGGAACGACAGAGCATTCGACTCGGAAGGTCCCGAGTTCGAATCCATGCCATGCCGCCGATCTTGTGCTCTTGGGAAAGGCACTTTTTTTTATTCCAACATGTAATCACCGGACGTGGTGACGACACACTCAAGTTTTTTCAACTTATATTAATGCCGCCACCAACACAGGGGACAAATACAAGACAGGACAATACTCATTTACACCTGAGCTAAGTGAGGAAAGTCGTGTTAAGTGCCTTTCCCAATGGCACAAGATCGGTGGCATGTCAGGACTCGAACCCGGGACTCTCAGTTCCGAGTCGCGCACTCTGCCGCTACGCCACACGACCCCACGTAAAGGCACTTTACACATAGCTCATGTGAAAATGGGTATGTATGTTGTCCGTTCATGCGTTTGTCTGCGTTGGTGACGGCATGAAAATAAGTTGGCAAAACTTGAGAGTGCCGTCGCCATGTCTTGTAATATTATGTTGGATAAAAAAAAACACATGCCTTCCCTCCCAATCCCTTCTAAAGTTGGAGTTGACGCCGTACTGCGCAGTCGTCCCGCGGGTCTGGTTGTGACAGTGACGAAGTGAGTGATTACCGCCAAGATTGACCGTGATCTCGGACCCAGGCGACCGTGCAGGAGCATGATCCCGTACCCAGGCGCCCGTGCGACAGCCTGGCTCCTGTTTGATTGATCGTTAGTCGTTCACGATGCTAATTTCCAAATTTCAACCTTTCCTCCATGGATACCGATGAAGCAGTGAAGTCATGCGAAAAAAGGAGAACAAATAAAGACATTCAACTGAAATAAATGTTTATAGGCGTTAAGCACATTGACCTGTCAGCCCCACTAAAGTGTTGCTCGACTTATAATTTTGAGTTTTACCCAGATAACATTGATAAAATAGTGAAAACCAAAATGCTACCATCAAAAAGGTGGTCCTTACAACCCAGATTGATAGTGTAAGGGCACACCAAGTAAATTTTATGGATGACGTCCTTTGGAGACCATAAATCTAATGCGAGAGGGCGAAAAAAAACAAGAAGGGCCCTAAAAAAACAAGACGCCTAGATTAGAAATATACTAAGAGACGACAAATGTTAGGACACAAATTGAATGATGTCACACAGATTAACAAGCAAGAAGTCTTTTATTCATCATCAAAACAGCAATAAATCAGGTGGAATAACAGTTGTCGTCCTGTCCTGTTTTCGCGTTACGGGTTTCACGTCAATCTGACGATTTGCGTCACTGTCATGACTCTGGTCATAGTTACAGGAAGCGGAATTTCTTGGGTTTTTTTTCTAGGAACAGGCGAAAATCAATGCGCGCGCGGACGTCATCCATAAAATTTACTTGGTGTGGCCTAACACAGATTAATAGCGATTTAGCTACTTCTGCTTGACTTAAGGTCTTAGAAAACAAAGAAAGATTCTCTTCAAACAAGAATTCCGAGATGTCATACCTACACACCAAAAATGATGAAAATATGTTGTTCCTATCTGGACTTATTGGCTTTTAAACATTTCGCAAGAAAGTGCCCTGCAGTTCCAAAACAAGCTGCTAGGGGGACCAAACTCACACCACTTATTCCTGACAGGAAAAGCTATCTGTCACCAAAACATCAAGACCATAGCATGTTCAGGACAAAAGATACAAAAACCGGAAGTTCTGCTGCAGTACCAAGGTCATCCACCAGGAGGCCCATATTTGACCTTGACGTTTGTCTTCCTAAGACTTACCAACATACCAAATATCATCATAATCCATAAAGGCGTTCTGAAGTTATGCTGACCACAAAGTTGCGGAAACACAGACAGACAGACAGACACACATACATACATACATACAGACAGACACGCCAAAAACAATACCTCCATTTTTCATGGAGGTAATTAGAACGAACGTCAGACAGCATTTTGATAATTATGCAAAATGAATCAACCCAAGGAGGTTTAAATCTGATTTTAAACCTCCTTGAAAAACGGTATAAGGTTAAATTTAGACGTTTCAGACAGCATCCATTGTCTTTCATCACTTATTACGAATGAGCCTCCAAAGATTTCTTTTGTAGATGTATGTAATGTATTACATGGATGTCTAACCTTCATCGAAGCATTTCGATATCTTCAAGGCTCGTGTTGACAGCCACTCCACGGAGTAGGGCGAGTCCAATGGTGTTAGTATGTGTATATATTATATTATATTATATATATGCTCGTACATATATATAGAAGCTCTGTATATTTCTCTCCACGTATTATACAATTATACAGTTTACAGATTATACATACCGATGAGTTTTAAAAAAAATACTGTAGATACGTTCTGTATCTGTATCTGTATAGCCGGTATAACCGCCTTTCGGCGTAACACACCAGCTTCGCAGGTACGCGGCGCGGCGGCAGCTGGCTATATTACACCGATCGACTTTTTACACCTAACCCTTGAACTTCTAGCTCTAGACTTTGTTTAAAGCTATCTATTGTATAAAAACTGTATAGAAGGAAAGGCTTTCAACGTACAGCCACTGACTAGAATCAAATTGGAACGATATTGAGATATATAAGGTCTCTTGAGTTCCTGGCGTGCCTTCTGGCACCTGTGGCTGCTCCAGATGGAATCCGCTCACCTGTGCGGCAGGTAGAAACGCAGACGACGTCGGCAGGGCCGCCATCATCCATCAACCTGAAGTTGGCTTCTCCGGGCCACTCCCGCGGGTAAGTCACCGTATCCCTCATAGAAACTCATGAATATTCATGAGTCCCACCCGGGAAGCTACCTTTTTTTTTAAACTCTGGAGGGCTGCCAAACTAGCCTCTACCAGACAACACAGATCGCTGAAATAATTGCAAAAATTGGCCAAAATAAAGGGAATAGTATACCAAGGGAGTTAGCCGGCCAGATAGGGTAGTACTATATGTACTCTCTAGCGGACCAACTCCCCTGGCATGTTATCTCTCTATTTGGACAATTTCTACTCTTTCCAGCCGCCTCCCGACGCATGGTAGAGGCTACTGCCCAACACGAACTTCGTGCAATAATGATAAATATGATGGTAACAGAACATTTTAACTTGAAATGTGTGTGTGTGTGGGGGGGGGGAGTTGCCGGACTACAAAATAGAGATGCTACTAAACTTGTCCTTGAACTTGGTTGCCTTTTGTTGAATCATAAGGATATGCACTTGCCAATGTGAAACCAGAGGGGAAAGGGTTGGCCTCCACCAGGCCTTCCTACGGGGTTCCGGATCCTAGAATTCGGTAAAAAAAAGGGAAATAGTTGGCAAGGAGAGTCAGTCTGCGAGAGGGTTAATTTCCCCCAACTGCGCGGGCAAAAAAACTCTACGGTGGCCAAACTCCCCTAGTCAACTATTCTCCCCATTGGCTAAATTTTATTCTTTTTTTTAAAACCCGCGTTGGTATCCTAGTGGAGACTAGGAAAGGGTATCGGTTCTATAGGATATCACCTTGAAAGTACGAGTATATATAGAGAAAACAATAACGACAATGTTATAATACTTTAAAATCAAGTTTATTTGAATAAATAGTTTGATAAATTGTAGTTGTTATATCTTCTTGGCGAACAATATTCTGTCATTTGACAAAAGATCAATAAATTGATAAACCTCGATATATTTTGTTAGACATTATTAGCTTTGACATATCAAATATCAGTGTCAATATTTCTACAGAATTTACATATACGATTTTGTTCATTCTGACGTCATTGTGCTTATTTACATTTTCTTCCCATGATGCATCCATACCTCCGTCGCCATTTTATATAGTACGAAGTCATAATTCATTCAACGTAAAACTTACATTCTTATTATAACCTTATTACAATGTATAGATGCATGTGCATTAAGTATATTTCCACATGAGTCGCGTTTAATATAAACAAGCGTTCTGGTGATACATCATATTCTGTACATATTGTTTCCATTCGAATTCACAGTAGCTTCATTCAATTGTGTAAATATATACAACCATAACGTAAACGTATTTTGGACACATACAAACAAACAATAGAAAGTACTTGTAATACAGAAATAGTACTTCACGTCGATAGGCAGGATTTTTAAAGGTAATTTTTCAAAAAAAAGTCAAGGATAGTCAAACTGTGTCATTCCGTGTAAATCAGAAGTATTTGTCACCACACGGTCGACAGGCGCATTCCTCCACTATGGACACTTTTCGAACCCTAGTCTCGTTCCCTTGGCAGTTCAGGACGACTTTTTCGCTGCGCGTGCGCGTTGGCGTGCAGGAGGCGCAGGAGTCGAAAGGCCCCGGATGTTGGCGAGGGATGTGGAAGGAGCTGCACTGTCCGTAACAGAACTTATTTCTCACCAGTTTGGTTTCGCACCCTGGGGCCGAGACCTCCTGGTCGAAGGCCACTGCCTTGCACCAGTCTTTGCGTAAGTCCCTCTTCCTGAGCGGCAGTCGAACGACGCTGCCTACAGCGTACAGGGCGCTCTGTCCGATTCTTACTTTAATAGACTTCTTCTCCGATCTTCTCTGCCCCTTGTCTCTCTTGTTATGTTTCTTCCGACGCCGGTTTCGGCGTGACTTTCTCCCTCTGAATCGCTTTCTCTCGTAGCGGTCATCCACGGGACTTACTTGCTCATGTTCGCTCGACGCATGCGCGGAGCCCTCGACTTCTTGTGGCAGCTCCGCCTCAGAGAAGAGACCCAGAGCCGTTTTTATGACGTCATCATCACCTGGAAGACGGTTATCTGACTCATCATTAGGCATGCGCGTTGTCTCCTCTGTCTGTGTCCCTGCCTCGTCAGCAAGAGCTTGTTCTTCCTCGTCTGTAATCCTGTGTATAGCAGAGGCCCGCACGACGATTTTTTCCTCAACCACGGTGTCGTCTGACGCCCCGTCTCCGTCCCGACCCCTCCCGACCGGCGGCCGAATCAACCCGAGAGTCTGGAACCGATGGAGCAGTTCCTCGGCGCCGAAGGACGAGTCCGTGTCGCCGAGAGACGAGGAGATGGTGTACCTGAGTCTGTCTAGCACTGACCTGTACTCCGGGTGGCGGGTGGGACTGGGCAGGGTGGAGGCGGCGGCAGCCCGCAGCAACAACACCAACGTCACGGTCACCAGACACGCCAGGCTCCTCACGACCGTCTTCATGCTTCACCGCACGTTTCTCAAGACCACGGCGGTCGTAAAGTCCAACTCTCGCCGCCCGTCGTCGAAGAAACTTTCCGTTGCAGTCGGAGGACGAGCTCGTTGTTGTGTAGTGTAGAGCCGGGCGGAAACAGTGATCAGGCCCTGGCTTCGCGTACCGTCCCCTGTCGGAACAATACAACCCAACATCAGTCGTTTGTCAAATAATGAAGGCCAGTTCATCATCGCTCCCCATAGACAGCCGCGTACAAAAAGCAGCGACCAAAACAATGGGTCAACCAATGTCATTTTCCCACGAGAATCACTCGGCGGACGGAAACACAAACTTTTCCTCTACAATGAACACAAACTCAACTCGAAGAAAAAGCTGGCGGTGCCATTTAAGCAGCACGAATGTGTGCCCCCAGTTTGCCCAATACACACACACAACACGACTTGAATACACGCTGCCAGGCCCTTTTCAAAAGACGCAACTAAGTCAAACGGCTCACGCGGAACTTGTAGTCCAGTAGTACATTGTTTGTATTTAGTTCCTTCTTGAGTCAAAACGACAATAACGTTGCTTTTCTATGAGAATTTCTATGTCAAAATAGCTATTTTACGTGCTTCTTGTTGTTTTGACACTCCAAGAAAAGAACAAGTAATGAAAATGCCCTTACCTGGGGCGTTCGGGACGTAAGCTGGGCTATTAGCCGGTGTTCGCGCGGATCTGACTTGCGGTGTGCTGTCGCGGTCTGTCACACTGACGACTCAATTTCGTGTGCCACCCCTTTTATAGCGATGAGTCCACATTCCATTTGGGTGGTCTGGACCTCATGCCATCCTCTCACCGGTCGATAGGGCAAGGCATAATCCTATTTCAGCACCAACAAACCAGATAATCCCCCGACCAATTATTGCTAAGTACGCCGGTACGAGGTTCGGCCGATGACCATTGCTACACGGACAGGATGTGTATTTGACCACAAAAAAACCCTTCACATGCATTTCCCTCTTTCCTTTCGCAGCTTCCTCTTGTTAAACAAATACAGTGCTATTATATCAATAGAACAAAAGAAAACCGTTCTGACTGTGTATTTATCTCTGAAAAGGGTACGTACTGTGAGGGCGTGGATGTCAGCAGGGCAAAGGTTTTGTCGGTGGAAAAAGAAAACAGTTACAAAGAAAGGTAAAAGGGATGAGTAAAGATATAATTGTAAAGAAGTCTATCCAGCTTTGATGCTTTGACTCCAGTAAACAAACCAAGGCCTCCTGGCGCCGGGAGAGAAAAAAAAGTTCGGCATCGCACGGGCGACTTCGCAGCGATTACTCGGCTCTTAAAACCACAGACCGCGTCTAACAGTATAACCATCATTCCACGAGTGCCGATCGCAAGCAAGAGCATTCACCGCACGATTCTTCAAAAGATGTAGAAAGGATCCAAAAAATTCCGATGAAAGGCGTTAGAACAACAGTAGGAATCCCCCCGTGTCTGTGGAGTACAGCCATTAAGCCCCATTACAAGGAACGGTAGATAAGCACCGCAGATAGGGATCAAAAAAAGACATCGATTCTTTGTGGTTGTAATCATTTTGTAAAACGAGATAAGAATATACCGGAAAGAACACCGTGCACGTTGTAAATCTATAATATCTTGTCAGTTTTAGAAGCGTGTTTGGGATTGTTTGTGTGGACACTTTGTCGTGAGGACACTGCCGTCAATGACACATTGCAGCCAGACTGCAGGCCAGACTGCAGCAGAATTGGAAAGTGTTTCTGTCCGGCCATCAGGTTAATGAGAAGTGACCGCGGCCAGGCGCGGCGTCCGACAACCCGTCCCGGCACGGAATGACAAATGTTCGCCGCTCCTGCACCGTGTTCTCTGTAATCAACGCTCCTTACATTACAGGATTTCTCATCAGAATGACGGACTCGCTCGTGTGCCTCACACACGTACAATGCTTCAAACACCCCGCTGCAAAAAAAAACGTTTCTTTCAAACCGTTTCCGGTGACGTTTACCGCAGACGACTGGAAGGCTTTGGCGATTTTTAGTCACGACAATATTGTAAAGGACGAACTCTAGGCCTTACAATGGTAGTTATCCTAGCATGGACAGTTCGGCGTTAGAGCGACGCCACGACACAGCGTTTTAAATGATGTGTACTGTCTGACCACGTTTCTGAAGGTTCTCTCAAGATATCTCGCCACGTTCAAAGAATCTTTTTTTGTGGAATGACTTTTCTTGAGCCTGAACTGCTCTGTCAAGTAGGCTTTTGAAGGTGACGGTTATTTAGAGCTGTTGTCATGCCTTCGGTGTGACTTTGACTGCGCCGCTGCCCTCTCCCGGCCCTCCCGTTTGTCCAAGTTGGCCAACTTCCCGCCATGACAGACTGTAGCACATAGTTTGTTACAAAATGAATCAGAGACGCACGGTCGGTGCCTCGGCTGGCCTCGCCGGGGATGAATGGTGGCTTAACGGGGGATTTTCCACCGATTTACCATTGCTTTGGTGAGTCAACCCGCGAGCTTGTCGTGCTATTGAGCCCCGGTCGGCCGCTGGCGCCACACTAGCTCCGCCACAGAAAACTGCTTTTTGTGCCGCTGACAAACATGATGAACTACAAGGGACGGCTTGAATGGGGAGCCGGGAATGTTTTCGGACCTCGGAACAACAGCGCCTTTCTTACCAGCCCTTTTACCTCTAACTCTACCTGACGCCAGCTACCCCGACGCATTTTTCTCCTCAAGGTTGCTACAGAAATAGATGGCACAACCGGGCGGTTAAAAATACTCGCAGCGCGTTTGAAATCTTCGTTTACTGTTACAGTAGTATTTCCAACCAAAGATTATCCACAGCAAAGTGGTTATACATATAACGTTCTTGTCCGCTAGCCAGATATCCAGACCTTATTTAGCTAGCGAGTCTTCTATGTCTACTCTATACCTATGTATCACTAGACATATTTACCACCATCTTTTTATTTCTGCATTCAATATAGAACAGCGTACAGCTCACATGTTGGCATAAATCCCGAGGTGGAAGGAAGAGAAAAAGTAAACTCATATTCTAGCAAGTAGCGCTGGAAAGAAAGGAATAAAAACTTTGAACTTCCACTATATTTCTAAAACTCTCGCTCTCCAATGCAAGGGAAGTTCAGCGATATTTTTTTTCTTCCGATCCTCCTGAATTTTACATGAAGACCAATACACATCCAGTTGGCTTTTCTTGCTTCATAAGCTGTTTTCCGGACCATTGAACAGCTATTGTACGAGGTAATGATCTTTGTTTTAAATCTCAATCTCAATGCTATTGAGTCTTTTGTCTTCTGCGTACAGGTTTTCCTATTGTTTGAAGGGAAACCGGCGCCAATACACATCTTGTCTGGTTCATCCATGAGATGTTTTATCTAACGCTATAGTTATGCTGAATTTTTGTTGTATTAGTTGATGGGATTTGTCTGACGGTACGTTGTGCTGGTGGTCCGGAGAGGGACACGTGGGATGGTGACAAAGTCAAAGTGAGGAGCCCCTCTATTGTGCAAATGGGAAGTTGTTGTAACATGGCAGGAGGACGTGTGAAAGTGATCGGGCCAGGACCACACATGATACTGAGAAAATCAGGTTCAGTCCATAGGTTTAATCTCCAAGCAGATGTTAGCTCCTTCCTTGTACCTCCCTCCAAGTCTATCTTACGCCAGAACTATGGCAGGCTCACGCCAGTATACTACCACCAAACGGACGACAACGATGCAAAAGCACGCGCAAAACAAGTCGGAGCTAAAATCTGCTAGGAGATTGTATAGGTCTTGTGTTCTAGGTATTTCGGCAGCTATTCTGCAGGACGAAAAAGCTACGCCAAAAGTATGTTCATTTATCTATGACCCAAGGGATACGCAAAACACAAAAGAAATTGTCCTGTAATGTCATCTTTGAACCTGTGAACAACCCTTAAAGGTAGTGTTGGAAACTGAATTAAAAGGCAACGTTAACATCAGTCAAAAAAGAAAAGTGGACAACAAACTTGTGCCCAGATCTATAGTACCATAGTTACCACGTTAGCAAAACTAGTGCCAGAGATATCGTCCGTTGCAATTTGTATTTGTTCAGTTGTTATGGCTTCACGTTGATTGTGAAAGCTGAACCCGAGGAACTTAGTTTATACTACATACTACTGTATAGACAAACGTGTGGGTTTTGCTTCTGCTGTATAGTGTCCTTTAATTCCCTATAACAGCGGGACTATCAGCTTAGCATGTCATAGATAAAACATATACTGATCGTCGATTAGGCTAAAGTAAACAACTCGTAAAACGGTTCAACGCGCACTTTGTATGAACGTAAAAGCCATAACATGTACTGAAGATATGGCTTCAAACAACTTGCCTGGGTAACGATTCCACATTGATAGTTTTATTTTTCTGAGTTATTATTAATTGTTTGTTTTCCCTTTCCCATAGCGTACCGTCCTGTCTTGTCAAATATGTTATAAAAGTAGCATTTCTAATGCTTTTGTTGAAAAATAGTACAAACTGACCAACAATATCTGAATAATGATAATTTGCCAGACAAGGCCGGATATGAGAGCTACACATTGTCAATGTCACTGGTAAATTATTCAGTTTCTTTGGGCAATTTTACTATTTTTCCAGCGACTCAATGAGTCTGGTGATCGAGGCTAGCCTCTTAGCACCTTTCAATCCACGGCTACAATCACAGCGATATGCATAAGCTCGCTCCACAGCTACAGGGGAAAGGTGTAAATGTTCAAAACCAACAACAGTTTTTTTCCACAAGCACGGACCACACAAGGAGAGGTAGTTAGTTAGCCCACCGAAGTGCAACTTCTACTTCAAATAACTGTCACAGATTCAAAAATTGCTACTCACCATGAAAAAAAACATTTATAGTTTCACTATGTTGGATATTGTTATACTAAATATGACTTTCTAATAGCATTTTAAAGTTAAATCACAAACTAGACTAGGATGCGAAGATTGTGACATGTTAATTTTCTTACAGAATTAAGAAACGAACGCTATATAGTATTTCGGTCGCCCCTGAGTCGTTCCGAGAACTGACAGAGTTGGTCTGCAAGTCTAACCCGAGTCCGCTAGATGGCAGTGTTTCTATCCAGACATATCTGCCCTTTCGAGGACATGGATACCGCGCGTATGCCTGAAGAGGATGGACTCGAACAAAACCAGTGTAAAATCTATCTTTTCTACTGATAAGAAAATTCACCCCGTATGTGTTAACGTTATTATTTTCGCTGACATAGAAGCTGGAACTGTCCTGAAAGCGTTTTGGCAAACTTCATGTAGAAAGTTCGACCCAAATGTACCAAAAGAAACACACCTCTAGACCCAGCGATGGCTTAGAAGTATCAGTCAAGACTTGTTAGTGCTACCGTGCACAGCAAACGTACTAAGATAATTAATTTGCAGGAAAATTATTCATAAACATAATGCTTTCCAATATCATGTATATATTGTATATTGTATGTTGGCTATTCAAATTTGTTAAAAAAACAGACATGGTCACCGCGCATTTTTTCGGACTCAATAAATGGTGCTATGATTGGCTGTGTGTCTAGCTCATATTGGTTATTTCACGTAAGATGTCCCGAATATGCAAATTAGCGCACAGTAGATGTGCTCACTGAAAGTTGGCGCCAAAACTCTTAACAATCAGGTTGCATCAGTGAACTGCAGTCTATAACACATAACGGAAGATTAACATCGTTCTATCCATTCTCACCTTTCTCCAAATCAGTAACCCTGGTTACCACGTCACCGCTCTGACGAATGGATCGCCAGCTTCTCTGATCCACGACCTGTTGAACAACGGGAGCTGGCTTGAAAAATTATCGCCCACATATCCCTCCGCACAGACAAGAGA